TGGACACAAAACCCTCCAACATCTGTCTGTGAACATGATGCTTTGTGTTTTAAAATGAGTTATTTGTGTCCTTAAAACACTTAGGAAAGCAGAGGATGACAGAAGAGCAATTCGTCCGGTTATTTAAAAAAAACACAAATTAATAAATTATTACCTTTCTTAGGGTTATAGTTTCGGACACAAACTTTCTTGTAGAAAATCCTGAAACAGTTTTGATTTCTTAACATCTTGTAAGGCAACTTTATCACTGTTTTTCTGTCTGTGATGCCAAATAAAGGAGCTCAGAATAAACATTCTTACAAACATTTATGTCTGATCAACTGTAGATGCCACTTTTCTTTGTCATTAGTATTAAACATAACTCATGTCAGCTCTACTAACCAGTTCCACCACTTCTGTCCTTTCCGGCCTTTCATTTACCCTGAAAAAAACAAACGAATTATTAGGTCACAGATAATAATGAGATTGTAAAAGCACCACTATGAACTAACTTCCTGATTTGTACCATTTTAAAAACTCAATTCACTATTATATACATAATAACCAATGACCAATAGTTACTGACGAGGCAAATATTTGTATATAATCATTATTTATGTGAGAATATTCATTTTTATAATAACGTTTTTGATGTTTACACGTTTAATATGCAGTAAACATCGTTTAATACTTCCTTACTGGAAAACTTTCCATTTATTTTTCTATTTATTAATAATTTTATGTGAACTTTAAATGCATTGTGATGGTTACTAGTCGAATTTATAGCACAGGCTTTAAATATTTCACAAAAACACATTAAAAAAGGTGATCTCTGTCTAACAGGCTGCCCCTCGGTGTGCTAATGCTTAAAGTTTTAGCTAAAAACAAACGGTTTGTGTCTTTATTAATAAAAAAAGAGCCGCTTATCTGCTCACACGTCATGAAACGGGTGCTCCTCTCCAAACTCCTTCAGGTGTTTCTTCTGTTTCTTGGATAAATTAGTGAAGAGCTGTGTTTTCTGCCTCCGTTTGCCCATGTTGTGGTTTGTGATGCTCCTCCACGCGCGTGCTGCCGGGCGGCTTCAAAGGCCGGAAGTCCAGGTGGCGCCACCTAAAGGACCGGAGGGGAACTGCACCCGGAAAAAACTACTAAAAATAACAGATATCCATAAAAAACTACTCTAAAAATAAGATATCAAATAAGACTACAATAAAGATAACAAATATCAAACAAAAAACTACTCTAGAAATAAGAAATAAAATAAAACTATAATAAAAACAACAGCTATCAAACAAAAAACTACTCTCAAAATAAGAGATATCAAATAAAAACTACTCTAAAAATAAGATATCAAATAATACTACAATAAAGATAACAAATATCAAACAAAAATACTCTAAAATAACAAATATCAAACAAAAAACACCCTCAAAATAACTGATATCAAACAAAAACTACTCTAAAATAACAGATATCAAACAAAAAACTACTCTAAAAATGAGATATCAAATAAGACTACAATAAAGATAACAAATATCAAACAAAAACTACTCTCAAGATAACATATATAGAATAAAAACTACTCTAAAAATAAGATATCAAATAAAACTACGATAAAAATAACACGTCAAACAAAAAACTACGATTAAAATAAGATATCAAATAAAACTACTATAAAAATAATAGATATCAAACAAAAAACTACTCTAAAAATAAGATATCAAATAAGAATACAATAAAGATAACAAATATCAAACAAAAAATACTCTAAAATAACAAATATCAAACAAAAACACCCTCAAAATAACTGATATCAAACAAAAACTACTCTAAAATAACAAATATCAAACAAAAACTACTCTCAAAATAGGAGATATCAAATAAGAATACAATAAAGACAACAAATATCAAACAAAAAATACTCTAAAATAACAAATATCAAACAAAAACTACTCTAAAATAACAGATATCAAACAAAAACTACACTCAAAATAACATAAAAAACTACTTTCAAGATAACAGATATCAAATAAAAACTACCTTCAAAAGAACAGCTATCAAACAAAAACTACTCTAAAAATAACAGCTATCAAACATAAACTACTCTCAAAATAAGAGATATCAAGTAAAAACTACTCCCAAAATAACTGATATCAAACAAAAACTACTCCACAAATATCAGATATCACCATGAAACAACAAACTTATTTCCTCTCTTTCAAATTTACAGCAGTTCTATACTTAAATGTGCAACTAGAGTATTATTCATTAAATAATCTGTGAATCATTTGTCATTTTGATATATTATTTGTATTAAGTTAAATATGATTTTGCTTCTATTTTGTTAGGTTTTGAGTTTATTGTACCTCTATTATGTTCCTCCCTCATGTGGGAAGTTTAGCCCTCCCCTATTTAAGCCAACTTGGTTCTGTCTGGAGGTCAGTTTGGTTTCTGTTTGGTTCTGTTGACCTCAGTTGGTTTATTTATACTCTTAGTTGTATTGTGTGTAAGCAAGACCTTTTGTTACCATTTTTTGATATTATTAAATTGAACATTTTCTCATTTTTGGAACACCTTTGTCCTTGATTCAGCCTGGTCCTTCACACAGTGACAGGTTTCTAAAAAGCTAAATAACATCAGATAGTGGCGTAACTTCAGAGTCAGACCCCCTTAAAGAGAGTTACTGGGGTTATATGGGTTTTAGAGGGTTACTGGGGTTATCTGGGTTTTAGAGAGTTACTGGGGTTATCTGGG